TGACTGGTAGACGGCGGTGGGTGGCGCAACAGGCCAAAACACAAATTCAAAACATAAACATGATTTGCGGACTGTAAAAATGTTTTTTAAATGCGAATATTCTGGCTGTACTATTGTTGTTGGTGAGATCAGTATGTTATATGAACATTATTCCTTAGTCTCTGTGACATATTAGGATGATTTTACAACTATTTGCTTTAGATTTCTTACATATAGCTCCTTTAATGAGCTCAGAGTGGCAGTCAATGCTGATGGCCTTTTCCAATGTTAAATCCGGGTCCAGTTGCAGTTTCTGAAATACGTCGCTGTCTGTGATTCCAATGACAATGTTTATCCTTAGTTGCTCCAAAATCACAATGGTCTGCCAATTCATGAAGATGTCTCACAAAAGCCTCAAAACTCTCTCCAAGTCACTGTAGGCATCTGTGAAAAGATGCACGCTCATGTATAGTATTCCGCTTGGGGACAAAATGTTTGTCAAACTTCTTAATTACGTCCTCATAATAATCCTCAAAATCTGCTGGGAATGTGAAGGTGCTGAATATCTGCTTTGCCTCTTTGCCCATAGCATACAGCAGGGCTGGACTGAGATATGAAATCAGCCCTGGTCTTTTGCCCAGACCAGCCCACCACAATCGGCTGGACATCACCTATGTACTCCCCTTCAATACATGAACATACCAGCCCCAATCAAGACACATTTAAAAACATTATGTTAGATTCATCTATATATGTCTATTATTATGGTTTTTAATTTGTTACATGATAAAAGGAATTGGAGTTGTGGGGAGTTTTGTAGATCATTCCATTTGTGTGATGCTTCAAACCTAAATTCTATTTTTCCTAGTTCAGTATTTACATGTGGGATTTCTAATGTTAATTTGCTCTGACCACATATTAGCTGGTTTTGAATTGGAGTAGAATGCAGATAGACTTATATACAAACAATATGTGATGTTGGGTCCTCCTTACACTGAGGGAGGACCATCCTACTTTCTTATAAAGATCACAGTGGTGTGTAGAGGTTTGACAATCTTCTAGGAACTAGAAACTCTAAAATGCAGTCAGCTAGAGTTCAGTTTGCAGACAGCTAATAAGCTAGCTAGCAGAAAAAAACAGCATTTGTTATTTGTCATTTGTTATTTATTGTTTAAAGTTCAAATAGCTAGACATACACTCCCTGTGGTGCTGCTTACCATTTCACCTCCGTCACCTGGCATGCCTCCCTCTCCTACACTGTGAGCCTCCAAGCTTTGTTGCTATCTGGTAGCGTCAGAAGCACTGTCTCTAGTCCAGCCATGCAGACGGCTAGGTGAAGTAAAAAGATTCAGGCATGTAAAACTTGGCCATGCCGCTGCTCCAAACTTCTCCTTCTCTCAGTCAGCTGGACGAAAAAGGGTCACTTCTGTCATGAAGTTTACTGACTCATGTTCTTGAACTTGACCATTTACTGAACATTAGCACAGTCTATCACAAACAGACGAGCATGCAGCTTCTCGGACGTGTATGTCTTAGCTCCTTTACACACCTACTATGCTACTCAGAAACCCTTGTGCATGAATCCTAGTGGTCATAGCGACGTCTAGTAAGTAATCTAAATAATGATAAAGCTACATCAGTCTATAGATTTTCTTTTTAACCAAGCACTGTTTACAGGTTGATGACTTAACCCAGAGTAGATGAAACGCTTGCTTCATGCTGTACATGTATGTGTGTCTGTTTAAATGCATAAGAGCAGCAGATGTACTTTTGTGTGAACTGTAGTTTCAATGCATGATTATTATGCACTCTCTGTTCTGTTTCAGATTAAAGAATAGGTCTGTATTTTTGATGTAAATTTCCTTCTTTGTTCTTCCACAGTGTTTCTTTGCTGTGCTACAGTGGAGGGGTAGTAGTACCAAACAGGAATATTACATTTAATCTAAAAAAACAGGCAACTACTTTCAATGCTCCATTCTGTAATCTTGTAAAAACCTGCTGGTTCACACCAATGCAACTAGATGAGACAGTGTATCATCTCTATGCAACGACTCTGTGTACATCTGTTCTGATTTTCAGCTTTTAAGGCTTATTTTGTGGCTGAATATAACTTGCAGCTTTTTAAAATATGAATGAGGGTAGTGATAGTAAGATACTGGCTACAGTTGCATTTGTAGTTGTGATGAAATGGCGAAAACCAGAAACAAAACAAGCATCAGATGGACTGTATTCAGGGACGGTTTTTGCTATGGGCAATGTGGGCGACCGCCCAGGGCGCAATCTATGTGAGGGCGCATGAGCGCCCTCCAAAAAAAAAAAAAAAAAAACTTGCCAGTTTTCTAGACTACCACTCATTTCCACATCAAGTTAGTGCAGTGGGCGCTGGGGCGCCCCTATTATCACATTTCAACCAGCAGCAGAAAGGAAAGGCGAATCCTGGTGGTTGTGGGTTGAACGGGGGTCACAGACAGGAATACGGCGGAGGCTCATAGTGTAAATAGTAAAACTAGCCAGGACCGCCTCAGACTGTATTCATAATTAATACATTACAATTAAAATAAACACAAGAAGTTTGTGTTCTAGAGAAAGGATCAGCACTCAGTGAATAACCTCCTAAGCCCTATGATAAGCTATTATGGCAAGGCTTAACTATACAGACCAGTGAGCAGTGATAACTATCATGTCTTTGTGGTCATCTGGTGGGAACCTCCTTTCACCTGTGTTTTTTCTAGTTGTTCCCATTACACCTCCAGGAGGCTAGACAGTGATCTCTGGCGTCCCAGAGACACTCCCCTAATGCCAGGTCTCACTGCTCTCCTCACCATCCCAACAACCTCCTTTACCTTACTTACAGATGGCTTTCTCAGCCCAAACAGCACTGCCACCTTCAACAAAACCAAGCTCCAGGTAGCCACAGTGCTGATACTACCTTTCCTAGCACATTCACCATACTCTATTTCACACGCTACATAGCATAACTCCAATATAAACTAAAGTTAAAGGAGATAAATCAACTAACAGGATGAGCAAACACACTCACCTTGCAGCATGGTCTCAATAAAAATAGCTTCAAATAGGCCACTCCCACACTTAAATGACCTTCCTCTTCCTGGATTTTCTCCTGAGAGGACTGATTGGTGGATCTCTCCACCTGATCTCAAGGAGTTATGTACCCTGCTTTGTAGTTCCCCCTGCTGGCCCCCAACTGACATTATTTCTTCTCTTATAGATCCACTGGCTAGCTCTGGCTGCTTCATCTGACATTTCCTTCACTGTCTTCCTCAAACTCTGTCCCCGCACTCCAAGTTCCCCCAGGAGCGAGACAGCTGATATTGCTATGAATCCCCTACACCCCACTTCCACTAGACAGATCCTAGTTTTCCATCCTCGCTGCTCAGCTTCTGCTCCTAAGTCTGCATATCTAAGCTTTTTTCTTTCATAGGCTTCTTCCACTGAGTCTTCCCATGGAACTGTCAGCTCAGTGAAATAAACTATCCATTGACTCACTGACCACAATACAAGCTTTCCCCCTAAATCTACTTGCATTTCCCAATCACAAGCACCTTCTAGGCAGCCACACCCTTGCCTCCTTACTAACTTATCCCTTCTATATTTCTACCCCTCACGGACAAACTGAATTGCTAAACTCCTATTCTTAACACCTTCTGAATTTACCTGTCTTCATTTCCCTTCGATGCCTGCAGCTAAACATTTCAACACCTGGTTATGTCTCCATGTATATCGGCCTTGTCAAAATATGCTTTAAGGTTGCGGTACCTGAACAAAATGGGCATGATGGGTCCCCATTTACCCACAGTTTTAGGTTCTGGGGGGTCGGTAACACATCGTATGTAGCCCCTACCAGGAATCTAATATGATTCTCCTCCATACTCCACAGGTCCCTCCAACTAATATCACTAACAATGATATAAATAACCAGTGCCAATAAATCAATCAATGAAAATGAGTGTGTATGGGGGTGCATAAGCACATACAGTGAGCAGCTGCAGCAACCCTCTTCAGCGGTCATTTTGACTTGACCAGTGAACCTACAAGCCAACCTGAAACAGGTGATGTGCTTTACGTTCTAAAACCAGCCGCCAGTGATTTGTCCAGCTGAGTTGCAGGTGACACCATCAGCTGGCTTGAGTCAAGATCAGACCGACCAGTTCACACTGCTGCAACTTTTCTCTGCAATACTCTACAATGGTTTTGTCTCATTTTTAAACTTTGGTCTGAGCAGGGCTTTAAAAAGATTTTACACAGAATGAGGACTGTGGGTTTTATACCTCCATCACATACATTGAAATGGCTTTAAGAAACGATCTGTCTGTGGCCATATGGGCAGGACAACTACAGCAACCAAAAACTCTTTCAGTGTACACATGGGCATGTCAGTATTGTTTTAACATAGATTCAAACAAATTGTGACCCTAGTGCCCATTAATGTGTGTGTCTTTGATGCACTCAGGCATGTCAGCTGCAGATGCATTCATTTGGATTAGGCCAGTTTACTTTATCGCATTCTCTCTCATATGAGACATGATTCTGATTTTTATCAGCTGCTGGAATCAGGATGGGTATACTGCGAATGTCGTCTTTATGCCTAAACCCAGGACCCAACTTCATATAGAATTACAGTTCTGATGTAAAATATTTCACAAAATTTACAAATGCAGAAACAAACTGGGAACAAGGACATCACTAAATGTATAAGTGATTAGAACATCAACACAGTGGAATCTTTTTTGTTTGTTTGTTTGGAATCTTTTCAGAAACAAACCACATTCATCTGTTTGGTGATTGAATCTTTGATGCATCCTAAATGTTTTTCCACCTGGGTCTTGTATGATTTTTCTCAAGCATACTAGTTAAAGGGGGTCAGCATGTCACCACAATGACATGTAACCAGCTGAGGTAACTTTTGAATTAATAATTCCACCCTGATAAGGATGTGTTTATCAGTGGGTGGTAAGAGTATTTGGTTGGTAAGGTCTTGGTGCCTCGTCTGTGTCTAACAGGACAGGCTGCTGAACCTGAGCTTCCTGAGGCTGTTCAGAGCTGCTCGGCTCATCAAGCTGCTAAGACAGGGCTACACCATCCGCATCCTGCTGTGGACCTTTGTCCAGTCCTTCAAGGTGCTTACACACATTATCACATGCTCACAAATGTGCACTTTCACACACCCACACACAGTAACTTGTGGGACGGCTGCCAGACCAAATAGTACGGAGTGTGGACTGGTAACTAGAGGGGTGCCAGATCATTTCCTGCTCAGGGTGCCTCATCACTCAAGCATCTCAACATGCAAGCCTTTGGGTCTTGCTAGTGCATATTAATATGTGTGTGGTTATCAAGAAGTAAATACGTTTGTTTTTTCTCTTCCCTGTCCCTCAGGCCCTGCCTTATGTTTGCCTACTGATTGCTATGCTGTTCTTCATTTATGCAATTATTGGGATGCAGGTGGGTGATGCTACTCTGCTGTCGTCACAGAGGCCGTGATATTAATATAGTGGTTTAGTTGTTGTGGCCTGAATGTGAAAAACATTATTTTGCACATTGCTAAGACAAATCCTTTTCCGTCAATGTGTCTCTGGTGTAGGTGTTTGGCAACATTGAGCTGAATGAGGACACAGCGATCAATCACCACAACAACTTTCGCACTTTTCTCCAAGCTCTCATGCTGCTTTTCAGGTAAAAGAAGATATATATATATATCTTTGATAGAAATAGTCACAGACATTACTGCTTCATAATAAAATCCCATATATACAGTACAGGCCAAAAGTTTGGACAAACCTTCTCATTCAATGCGTTTTCTTTATTTTCATGACTATTTACATTGTAGATTCTCACTGAAGGCATCAAAACTATGAATGAACACATGTGGAGTTATGTACTTAACAAAAAAAGGTGAAATAACTGAAAACATGTTTTATATTCTAGTTTCTTCAAAATAGCCACCCTTTGCTCTGATTACTGCTTTGCACACTCTTGGCATTCTCTCCATGAGCTTCAAGAGGTAGTCACCTGAAATGGTTT